CCCCCCTTCCTCCCCTCTCCTCCTCCTCGGCGACGACGACGTTGACACTCCGTCATCGTTCGCAGGGCGGATACACCGCGCTATCTCCGTTGGATCGCGGCTCGCCACAGTTTCTAGGAACGCGCGGCGCTCAATTCCGATCTCTCGAATTATCTGGCGTTGAGAGAGAGGGGGGGAGAGAGAGACTGAGTCTCTGTGTCTCTCTCTCTCTCTCTCTCAGCCTCTTTTTTTTTTTTTTTCCACTCGCTGGCTTCCTGTGCGGCACTTCCTATTTGTATGAACGCGCATTTTCGCGTCGGCATTGTCGCGCCGAGGATGATGTCGGGCGACATTATATGCGTGCATGCGCTCGTTATACCGGATCGATCATAACGATCTACGCGACGCGTGTGTGTGACGCACACACACATGGGGGTACTCTTCGTGATTTCCGTGTGCATGCGCTCATACCCGCGCGTGTCATTGACGCATACGTCTCCCTCGCGCGTGTACGCGTGAAAGAGGACGTTCCAAGTCAAGCGGCGAAAACGACGAGGTTATGACTAGCCGACTAGCGGTGCCAAGATAGTTTTCGTTGAAAAGACTGCGGGAGGGTTACATTTGAAAATAGGTCCGTTCTTTTTAGCCGAAGTTCTCGCGTGCTCGATCGAAGGAGAAATGGGGAAGCCGTGCGACGAGTTTACAGCTGAAAGGAACAGGCTTGACGATCGGAATTTTTCTATTCCGTTTATTCACAGAAGAATACATATATTTCCTACACATTTTTAATTGCTTTTTAGGTTTGATAAAAAATTACTTCTCTTTCTGAACGGCTGAAAGCCACTAATTAAGATGTAAAGGCCATCACACGTACAAAAAATTTGTCTTAAGCAAATCGACCAATCACAATCAAGATTACGATCTCACATTTTAGTACGCTAACCTGTGATTGGCCGATTTGCTTACGGCCTTACGATCATGATGAAATTTTTCATACGTCTGATGGCCTTAATGGGCCTTCTACAATAAGCCATACTTAAGTTTTAAGTGTTAAATCATAAGAAATTTACCAATCACAATCGAATGTGAGACGAATAATCGACTGTGAGTGGTCAATTTTTTATGACTTAAAACTTAGGTAATGGCTTATTGTAGAAGGCCTATAAAGGCCATCACACGTACGAAAATTTTAGTAGCAATCGTAAGGTCTTAAGCAAATCGACCAATCACAATCAAGATTACGATCTCACATTTTAATACGCTAACCTGTGATTGGCCGATTTGCTTACGGCCTTACGATTACGACTAAATTTTTTATACGTGTGATGGCCTTAAAGCGGGAAGCACAGACTTTTGCATAACGCATAAACCATATACATAAAGAATTTGATTGGTCCATTGACTCATGCATAAGAAAATGGGCCAATGAAATTCCTTTTGCACATGTTTTATGCATTATGCTAAAGTCTGTGCTCCCCGCTTAACTAAGAATAATTTTTTATTTCATTCGTTAACAGATTACCCCTCGATCGTATGAAAGTACAAGGCAACAGATAGAGATGTGAAAAAAAGAATAAATCATCGAAAGGAATGTCAATAGTATGTGACGCGCGAAATGACTGTATATCTTTGGAACTTTCAGCAGAATGACGTTTCTTTAATTTTCTTTGAAAAGTATTGCCCATTTTTATTCGTTCTCTTTTAATTAATTGTATTATTCAGAAATGACTACGATTTGCAGTTAATTCTATATATTTGACTCGTAAAAAGCCCAGGGCTGTATTTAAAATACTTTTACTTAAAACACAGTTTTCTCGCAATAAAAGTAGGTTTTACATTTCATATTTTAGTGGCGTGCATGAAAGTATTACATTTAAAATTGAAAGCTTTATGTATTTCATAATTTAAATAATAACATTAATCGTCAATCTTAGTTTTGATCACTTTATATTTTAATCTTGAAGTAACAACATCTTGCATATATAATTTATAAAATTTTCATGTAAGTATTAAATTGAATTTGATTTCATAGTATTTAATATATTGATTTTTAGTTTTGTCTTGATTGTCCTTTAGTTTACTGAGCGGTTTAATGAAGCTTTGCAATATTTCAATTTAAGATTGTTATCAACAGAATCAATTTCTTGACAATCATGTGAGTCTTTTTAGTATTACTATAAGGTCAGACTATTATAACATCCTATAAACATTGTTTAAAAAATTTTTTACAGTTAAACTTACATTTAGATGAACAAGAATTGACATTTGGAACAACATCTTAATTATAATGTTAATATTTTTATCTATACTGATAAAGACCCAAGTATAGGGTCGAAACGTTTATATTTATATTGTATTTTATCAAATTAAATTTACATACGTTTAACTTGTGATTCTTAATGGCAATTATTCCTTATTGTATTGGTCAATCTTAGTATTTAAAGTACAAAAATACTATCTTTCATTATTAATATTAAAATGCAAAATATAAAAAATACTTTTATACACTTCCATGAAATATGAAATGCATAATATTTTCATGTACACCGCGCTGAAATACAAAATATATGATACAATCGTATTACGAACGCTGTTTTCAAATAAAAGTATTTTCAAATACATGGCCAGCCCTGAAGAAGCCATTCGATCGTGATCTTAACATGCTTGCGGAGAGGTGAAGTGGTCAAAAGCTACGGAGCATTCCTCGCCTGCGTCACGCGGCGGATCTTGACTCGTGGCGAGTTTCAGGCGGAATGTACAAACTCGTGAGATCTAGTTTAACAGCTCGACCCTCTGCGTTTAATGCACGCCCTAAATGTCCTTAGACTAATATTTCGCAGGCCTACAATGCTACGTTGAAAGGTTGACTTTACAATAATTAAGCATAGATGAAGGACGATTAGAGTCAAATCGTTTAAGTATAATCAAATTAAGTATGTGTTTTTCTTTAGAATTTTATTACACACTTAATGTTATAACCGCTTTATTATTTTTATTTTATGACTTGACTCTAATCGTCCTTCATCTATGCTTAATTATTTTTACATAAAGAGTCCTTTATTTTCTAATTTATTTGTTTTTAACTGTATACAATTTAATTTAGGTACATTTTATCGGTAACTGTTGATTTTTAATTTAACTTCTTTTTTTTTTTTTTTCAAGTTAAACCTCAGACAAAATGGGACAATGAGTGGATAATTTAATAATTTTGTGTTTTTCATATTGCAGTGTGATCGTTATAGATGTAAGCAAAAATAAGCAGTAATTCTTTAATGAATATGCTGTGAAAGAGAAAAAAATGTAAAAAGAATTAAAGTAAAACGGTCCAATTTTTTTTTTCTTTGATTTTTTTATTCAGACCAAATTTAACTTTGAATTTTTCAATTTGTTTATTAACTTTACTTGTATCTTAAATAAGTTACACTTTCCAGATTGTCACCTTATACTTGATCTGGTTAAAAGAAGAGAGTTAACTTACCCAACTTTATGTACCTCGTTTGCATTGTTGACAGAAAGCTACGCGAAAGCAAATCTTTGAGAGAAGGATGATTTCGATCTGATTAATTTAATCAGTAATTGGTTTAGTCGGCAGGACTGTTTATTGACGAAATTACTAACCGTACAATTTATCATTTCTAATCTGATTAATAACAAATTAATTGTTTACATATAAATAAGTGTAAGCTTGTTATGAATATTTAGTCAATGACCAAAGAAACGAGCACGATTGTTCGAATAATATCAGTTCTGCTTTTATTAGGATTAACTGGGATTTTACATTCTCGTAAGTAATAAGGTAACACTTGCTTTCAACAGTTTTTGCCAGTCAGATGTCAAATTTGCAAGCTCTATAGGAAATATTTGGTTGACCTGGGTCACCATTGTTCCAGGGATCAATACTTTCATAAAGGAAAAGGATACGATACGAGACAAAGTTGTGACACGATATCATTCACTGATATAGATTAACGCCTCTTGGAATGCTATCTCCTTCTCTTTCTTTTTTTTTTCGTTTTCGTCCTGCGACAAGGACTGCAGGACGGAGATACGTTTCTCGCATCTTTCTATCCTATTATTGTATAACCAGTCAACTGGCGGGTTCGATGAAAAAATTTTATCGTACACGACAAGAACACGAATTTAATTACACTCTTCTTGTTTGCAGCACAGCTGCAGCTTAAACGTGTTTAAGAACAATAGTTTGATAGAAAAATTAGTACTAATTAACTGAGCTCGGTTTTTGGATTTTTTGCTCTCTTTCTCATTACGATAATAGTACGATTATTATTATCTAAAAGTCGTACCAGGAATTTGCTTGACACAAATTATCATAGGTTTTTGCAGTTGCATCATTTAATAACGTCCGATAATACCGAGATAAATTGAAGAACGGTCCTAGTTAGTTGATGTACAAGCATTTCTCGTTTATCTACAATTAGAATTATTCAAGTTTAGAGAAGCATCTCGTGGTTGTATTGTTTATACTTGTACTTGTGTGAGGTCCAAGTCTTAATTATCGTGTTTTTTTTTTCCAGTGCTCTATTTCTCTAGTTTAGGCTGTAAATCTATTCACAGTATCATCCACTTATTCTTTTTTTTTTATACCGTATTTATAAGCGTCTAATTTTCCCGCCAGCAGAGAATGCTTAATTCTTAAGTGTCTACTTGAGTGTCCAATTAGCACTTAATTTTCCAAAAGATTGCAATCTGTTTAATACTAATAAAAGAATTAATTTAATATGCGTAAGGAAAGACACACTCCCGATTCTTCGATTTCAAATCTCTTTCCTCCAAACAAGTTTTGAGCTTCAAGACTATCTTTGAACGATACTTGCTTTAAAATTCGTTAGAAATTGTACTCTCATTTTTGATATCGAAGTTTTAGGAAGGTTTTTATGCAAAAGTGTTTTAGGTAATTAACGCAATTACCCTGATTCTAGGATGAACTCTCTTGACGTCAACCTTGTTGTCATGTATATAGTCGCAGCTATTTATTTCTTCTCGTATTGTAACGTCAGTTTTAACTTCTAGACTTTGTTTCGACCTCCTCTCTCTCGCCAAGGTCTGTACATATACATGTAAAATTGTATTCATATCACTGTATAAAAACGTATTGTGACAAAGTCAATTATATTGGGAGACCTATTTGCTCGAATGTCCTTTTTCCCGTTTTCTGAAAATTATAAATTTCGGACTAAGAGCCGCGCATTTTGAAAGTCCGCCCCTCCGAAGTATATCTCAAAAATGACTGCTTGAAATGTAATTGTTTAGCTTAGCTTCTCGAAAACTTTCTTTGCGAATTTCGGGACACTCTGTATACACACACACATCTGTAAACGTACTTTGCATATTCTTTTGCACAGTGACGTAAATACGTAAATTTTATCAAATTATCCGCAAACAGGCAGTGTGAAGAATTGATGAAATTATGGATCGGAGCTCAACGAAGAAAGGGATAAACTTGTCCAGTCTGACTTATTCCATTTGCTCTTCATCTTCTTCTAATTCTAAAAATTAGAAAAATATGAACAGTAAGTTAAATAATTATATAATATACGCAATTAATAAAAAATCTTTAAATAATAAAATTTTAATGAAAATTAACTTAATCATTAAATTGATTTGATTGTAAGAAAAAATTCATGGGACTTAAATTAAAATTTAAAATAAAAGTATTACAATAAAATAATTTAAAATTTAACCGAGATTAAAGTTAATAACAGGCATTAATCAACGATTAACTCTTGCGAAGCTCCGACTTTGTTAACGTGGGTCTTTTTTTTTTTTTAAGACGTCATAGATATTCGACGAATTGTAAGAAATTTTGCTTATTGGAGCAATAAATCGTGGCTAGCCGAAGTAGTCATTCTAAGGATTCTCGATCGCGCGTATCTTTCCTCGCACCTCCGGTCCCGACACACTCCACTCACTTTTCTCCCACCCATTCCTCGAATTTATCGTTATCCGTGTCGGTTGGGTTTCGTATCAGCCACCGTGTCGCGGTCTTCGCTTCGCTAGTTTCGCTAGGCTAGACGCCATACACGACGTCGGGGTCAGTCTCGCCGTAAAGGCCATCGCGCGTACAAAAAAATTTCAGTAGCAACCGTAAGGTCTTCAGCAAAAATCGGCCAATCACAGGTTGGCGTATTAAAATGTGAGATCGCAATCTTGATTGCGATTGGCCGATTTGCTTAAGACCTTTACGATTGCTACTAAAATTTTCGTACGCGCGATGGCCTTAACCCCGTCGTGGAGGGACGAAGGGGACAGGAAAGAAGGAAGGAAGGGAGAACGTCAGCGACGTTTGCGGAAAAAATCGCGTGCATCGGGAGAGGATTATATAACCCCCGGGGACACATGTATGAGTTAACGTTTGTCACCCCGGCGTTGCTGACAACACACCGCGACGCGATGTCGAGCGGTCGGCCTTTCTTCCCGATCGCTTCATCTCTCGCGAATCGCTCGCGCAATTCCCATCCTTCTATCCACGCCTCCTCTCTCTCCGCTCCTTTCTCTCGCCGTAGTGCAGCCGCGCGCGCAACAACTTCCACCTTCATTCTGACGTCTACAACGAAAACATCTCTCGCTTGATCGCGGCCTGCCACCGAGGCGCAGTGCTCGAACTCTACGCCGTTCCCATCCTCCCTCGGCGCAAGAACGATGGAGACGAGGAGGGAACGAATGTATAGGAGAAAGAGTGAAAGAGAATAAGAGAGGAGTGACTGACACGCGTGTGCGTGTATTTGTACAGTACGTGTGCAGTGCAGGAAGCCGTGCACGAACACAGGGCAACACGCCAGGCCCGGATTAAAAAGTTGAGGGGCCCGGGGCTACTTAACTTTAGGGGGGGGCCCTTCTCTTCGATCTTTGTCAAAAAGACGATCGCGTCTGTATACGTAAAGCAGTACAATTGGGCTATTTAATCCAAAACGGTAAACATTAAAATTGAATCGTATAAAGATTAGAGACAAATAAATAAATTAATTAATACATTCTTTAGTCGTAATTTCTTTTCTCTCAATTTTAATTTTACAAAATCTTGTTGTACTGAATTATTAAAATCCATCGATCTTAGGAATTCACAGATTCGATTGCTAAGCCGAGTTAAAGATTTTTAATCGTTCGTCCAACCATCACTGTTCTGTACATACTTTTTTTATTCTTTTAAGAACAGATCTTTCTGCTTCGCAATTTGCTATTGATAATATAGTTACAATTATTCCAAGCGCTATATAAACATTGGGAAAAACACACAGACTTCTATATATTACTAGACTGATAACTTCTTATGTATAAGGCGGAGGAATTTCTATGTACAAATCGGTCATCCATTCTGCGCACGCGCTTTGACGGCGCATATACATACGTAAATAGTAGTGATATTTCAATTGGGTTAAATTTGCGTGTTAACTGGATTATATGTTTTAGAAAGATTAAAGAAATAATTTTATGATTAGTGTGCACATAAATAATTAAAGGCGAATTTTGGCGTGGTACAGCAACCAAAAGTAACCGCGACTAAAGGCTATCTTCGTTTTCAGGTATCAGAAGACAAAGATAGGAAATCTAAGTAATTATATTGAACATCTTTTATATTAAGCATCTTTAGAATATTTTTCTAACATTATTTTTAATTGTATATGACAGCATTGTAATTATTATGTACTTTTTCTTGACACTTTATACTTAAATAAAGAAATTTTCTTATCATTTTTTAAACTCTTGCACGATGGGACGGCACATTTTAGAGTCGCACTCGAGCACAATTTTATCACGAAATCACAATATATGGGAGAAGTTGTAGGTGATACTGTATGTATTGTACTACGATCACTAGAAGTTTGTGACTACAATGCGTACGCACATGCGTATTGCATCGAAGCGTGTGGCGCATGCGCAGAATGAGTGACTTTAGTACACACACGCTTCTTCGGAACACTTTACATAAGAGAAATCCAGGGAGTTATCAGTCTAGCAGTGTATAGAAGTATGTGGGAAAACATCAATCATTTGCTCTACTCAACTAATTTTAATTTTAATCAAAAAAATTAAAATTCTTTCCTTAATGTAACGGGGGGCCCCCTATTTCCTCCTCTCTCCCCCCCCCCCCCTTAATCCGGGCCTGGGCGACGCACGTGCGCGCACATATATACGTGCATACGTGGGGATGCGCGAGAGCTGCGCGAGTGTAAGTGTACCGCGTTCATCGCACCGCGCGGAGTGCGCGCCGCCGGGCGCGCCACCTAGCGGGCCTCCCCCGCGACCCGCCGCGCGTTCTCGCTCGCGAGCACTCGTCCGTCCAACCTCCTGCGCCAGCTCTCTCTCTCTCTCTCTCGTCGAGAGATCCGCTCTCTCTGGTACTCGCTCGTCGTCGCCGTCGCCGTGCGCGCCGGTGGCGTTCGCGAATCGTCACAACTACGTTTCGAGGCGGCGCCGCCGTCGTCGTCTCGCTCCGCTCCGCGCGCAGCAGTGTTGCGACTATTTGCAGTCGCTGGTCGATGCACGCGTGGATTGTGGAAGCGACCATATTATTCGACGCGTTTCCGACGGTGTGTTCCTCTACGGTGAATTCCTCGCCTCCTTCCGTTCGGCCGACGTGGAAGGGAAAGAACCCGTCGATCTCGCGCGCGCGCGCGCGCGTGTGTGTGTGTGTGTGTGCGCTCGCAGTCGTGCGAATGCACGACGGCCGATCGAGTGTGCCACTCGAAGCAGGGTGAAGAGAGGCGGCAAGCGGAAGAGCGGCGCATGGCTCGCGCGTAGGTATCTCGCATTCGAGTGTACTGTTATAGCGAGAGGAGCGTAGGTCGTGCGAGTGTCAGTGTCGTCGCCGCCGCCGCTGTCATCGTCGTTCCAGAAAACGCACACGATTGCACTTTCACTCCCCGTTGCGTTCCCCGATTTACGCCTATTGTCCCGCAGTCGCGTCCGAAGTAAGAGGGGCACGCACGAAATATAATTTCTCTCCCTTCCTCTGCCTTCATTTATTATTATGTAACACGATCTTATCGACGGACAAATCTCGTTGTAGGTGGAGTGCTTTGCGATCGATCAGGTCGAATTGGACGAGGATCATTCCGAGTCGTCGAAATTCTTGCTGACGCCCGAGGATCCCGAGCGCTCGGTGGATCCTGAGACCCAAGCGCGTCTCGAGGCACTGCTCGAAGCGGCCGGCATCGGGAAACTGTCGTCGGGGGATGGGAAGCACCTGCCCGACCACGAGGTGCTCCGTCGGTTAACGTCGAGCGTATCTTGCGCATTGGACGAGGCCGCGGCAGCGCTGACACGTATGCGCAGCGATAACTCGCGTACGCCGAACGAAAAGCGCTCTCTCGTCGAGGCGTGCACCGACGGGGACGTCGGCACCGTTCGGAAGTTGTTAACGGAGGGCCGGAGCGTCCACGAGACCACCGAGGAAGGAGAGAGCCTGCTTTCGCTGGCTTGCTCAGCTGGTTACTACGAACTCGCTCAGGTTTGGAATCCAAGTCGCGAACTGCAGCACCCCCCCCCCACCTGCCTCCCTTCTGCCGAAGAGTCCACATTGCGTTCCCGAATTTCCCGACGTGGGAATCGTCCGTGGTGTTCCCGTTGGATGCGTTGAGACACACGGGATACACGATTGCTGTTATGCGTGTGGATGACAAATTTCTGGTTCACACGCTTAACGTATAGTTCTTCATTGTATATGTACAATGTGATGGACTCGATTGTGGATGTCGTAAACTTGGATCTTGTGTGAATTTGTGTCCAATTTTTTTTTTTTTCTTAAAAATAGAAAGAAATCAAAATCTCTGACAAAATCTTAAACAGGGTTGCCACAAGTCAGGGAAATGTCAGGGGATTGAAGAAGTGCGCCAGGGAAGTCAGGAAAAGTCAGGGATTTAGCACACTTGTCAGGGAAAATAGAATAGCTGTAAATAAACTTATATTGCCTTGTTCCTCTATGATTGGTTTGGACTACATGTTTTTTTTTTTTTTTAACATTTTCCGTGTTACGATAAAACATTGCAAAATATGTATTATTCAAAGTCGGGAAAAATCTCAAAATTTTGTCAGTAAGTCAGGGGGAAATGTCAGGAAATTTTACGATTAGAAGTTTGTGACAACCCTGTTAAAGATACTACGAGTGTTTTTCATAGGTAAGGACGTGTTCTGCTGTGTTCGTGTGCCTTCGTGACGCATCTCTCCTCTGTGTCATTTTGTTGATATGCATATTTTACTGCGTACACGCAAAATTGTGTACTCGTTGTATTTGTGTAGATGTTGTAATTGATATTAATAGTTCAGTTTGAATGGCTGTAACAATACATTGGTACAGTAATTCTCAGTGTGTAGAAGGATCAAAAAGTAAATAATATCGGACAACATTATTCGATGATATTATTAAGGATACGAGTATAAAAATGTAACTTAATAAAATAGACTCGGTTGAATAAATCCAAGGAAAATGATAAATGCCTTATCGAGTCAGAACACTGGTTGTTCGTGTGAGCTGAAATGATGCTTTATTCTATCTTGATAATAAATTGAACTTGTTAACATTGTGCTCCCTAGAACACTATACATTAAGAATAATTCATTGATAATTCTAAGTTTAATTTATTATATGTACTTTGAGACTTGAAAAGGATCCGAAACGTTGTTATTATCAAGATACAATAAAGCATCATTTCAACTCACACGAACAGCCAGTGTTCTGACTCGATGAGGCATTTATCATTTTTCTTGGATTAAGGATACGAGTTGTAAAAATAAAATGTATTGGCATGTGTTTGATAATTGTCGAGACAATTCAAATTTATTTATATTACGTTGTAATTACAGTCACTCACAATCAACAAACTACAATATTAATACAATATTGTTACTTTGTCTTGAAAATAAAGTTCTAGCTTAACTTCACAGTTCAGAAACCTATTGATACATTTATCTATTTTCAACTATTCTTGTGTAACTACATTTTTGTGACACTAAAAATTCATTTATAGTAATTAAAAGCTAAAATTATTATTATTATGTAATTAACATTAGAGAAGTCACAAGAAATGTGTTCTTATGAAAAATTCTTCAGAACTAGAGGTCTTGACACATGTTATTAAAAAACTTGAGATTTAAGCGATAAGGAAATCAATCATGTTTGATTTGCTTCTGCTTACGTTACGGTCTCTATTGATGATTAGTCTATTTGCTTGCTGCTTAAGTTTTATGTTTCGAGTTTTTCTATGTGCCATGACCTTAAGTCTCTTATGTACTTCAACTTTTTTTCTCTTGTTTATCAAATTGTCATGTTAATCACGGATATGAAGTTGGCATTATAATTGTATGTCATACATACATATATATATACGTACAATTGTGTTAATAGAATAAGATAGTTTATTAGAAAAAAATCAATTTCGCAGATCGCGACGAAATTTTTCTGTCATTGCGTCTTTCTATGAAACAGGTACTTTTGGCGATGAATGCTAATGTAGAAGATCGCGGCATCAAGGGAGACTGCACCCCTTTGATGGAAGCTGCTAGTGCAGGACATGTAGATATTGTATCTTTGCTGATTGCCCACGGGGCTGATGTTAATGCTCAGTCTACGTCAGGTAAAATTAAAATCCATCCGTTTCTTCTGTACTTTTATATGTATAATGTCGTAAATATCACCCCGTAAAATTAACGATACGTTGAAGGTAACACACCTCTTATGTATGGATGCGCCGGTGGACACGAAGAGGTTGTACGTGTCTTATTAAATTCGGGGGCCAATGTCGAAGATCACAATGAGAACGGTCATACACCTCTCATGGAAGCGGCAAGCGCCGGGCATGTTCAAGTCGCCAAGATCTTGCTTGAGCACGGGGCCGGCATCAATACTCATTCCAATGAATTTAAAGAGTCCGCGTTGACATTGGCCTGCTATAAAGGACATTTAGAGATGGTCCGTTTCTTGCTAGAAGCTGGCGCGGATCAGGTAACAATGATTTGTTTCATCCTCATCTCTGTGGTGTGCAGTAAAGATAATACGATAGATGGAATGTGATAGATCCTGGTCTGTACAGATTATAAAATGATCTCATTGGTAGGAAAAATTATCGTCACGTTCCACTGAACGTATAGATAAGCGAGTTGCTGCATGTTCTCTTTTCGGATCAGTTTTAGAATAGGAAGAAATATAACTTTTCTATAGCACTCCTATGATTGTCTGAAAACTACCAAGTTTCTAATGCGGAAATTGCGAGGCAGACGGTGAATCTAATTGGCTATTAACATTTTGATTTATCTGGTGTCTCTATACGTTTGACGCCACATGGGTAGCGCTTTCTTTCAAATTGTTCAAGTACAGCTCAAAAAACCCTTCCCACTACATAGGATCGTATAACAAGAGATCAAAATGAAAAGCATGCTTTCTAAGACTCGTCTTTTTAACGCGACTTAATAAATCTTAATTTAAATATTGATATTTAATAATTTTACCAATACTGGTAACCGATTTTGAATTTTTTTTTGGCTCAAATTACTCGTGGCGATGCCGCCTTTCGGGACATATAACGTTCGATTCAAGATTTTTTTTATATTTTAGTAAGTTCTGCACCCCCCCAAAAATGAACTTTGGTGGCTCGGGATGAAATACTTGTGTCTTTCAGTTTTTGAACATGGTTGATATTTAATAATTTTACAAATAGACTGGTGTGTAATGGTATAAATGGTAAATTCTACGCATTTTTTACAGGAACATAAAACCGACGAGATGCATACCGCCCTTATGGAGGCATCAATGGATGGTCATGTGGAAGTTGCTCGTTTGCTCTTAGATTCAGGTGCCCAAGTAAATATGCCGACGGATAGTTTCGAATCGCCATTAACATTAGCTGCGTGCGGAGGTCACGTAGACCTGGCTATGCTGCTGATCGAGCGTGGCGCAAACATCGAGGAAGTCAACGATGAAGGTTATACTCCATTGATGGAAGCAGCGCGCGAGGGTCATGAAGAAATGGTTGCTTTACTTTTGAGCCAAGGTACGTAATGATGTGTTCTTACGAGCGAACGGAATATAAATGTTAAAACAACGCAGAGTATAATGTGGTTGTAATCAACAAAAAGGTGCAAACATCAATGCTCAGACTGAGGAAACTCAGGAAACGGCGCTCACTTTGGCCTGTTGCGGTGGCTTTTTGGAAGTTGCCGATTTTTTAATCAAGGCGGGAGCGGATATCGAGCTTGGCGCGTCCACTCCTCTAATGGAAGCTGCGCAGGAGGGACACTTAGATCTTGTTCGATATTTACTGGAATCTGCAGCAGATGTTCACGCTCAGACGCAGACAGGAGACACTGCATTGACATACGCGTGTGAGAACGGTCACACTGACGTTGCTGATCTTTTGTTACAATTTGGCGCTGATCTAGTACGTCTTTTCTATAATTATAACATTAAACTTGTGCAAGTTTATTTTTTATATTATTTTTATATAACAATATAAATATAAAGAGGGCAAAAGAGCCAGTTAATTAAATTAACGAACCATTTAATTTAAACAATCTTATACAAACATATATAAAACGAACGTTTCTACTCGGGTCATTTTCAATGTTCCATAAATTATGAAGTAATGTAAATTAAAATAACAATATATTGCATACATTTTTTATTAAGTATAAATTTTCTCAATTCAAAGATTCAGTCAATTTTGGTGTCGTAAGCAATAATTAATCGTGTTACAAAAATACGTATAAAAATAAGGAATTAACAATATTCTAAAACACAACGTATGAATATAAAAGTTCTTTTGCCTTGTCAAAAATAAAGAGAAAGAAGTAAAGTATTTTTATATGATATTTTATGTATTTTTTAATGTAATTATTTACACCGATTCATTGCATGTATTTTAAGGAGCATGAATCAGAAGGAGGTAGAACTCCACTGATGAAAGCTTGTAGAGCGGGCCATTTGTGTACAGTTCAATTCCTCATCTCGAAGCGCGCCGATGTCAATCGACAAACGACAAATAATGATCACACGCCACTTTCTTTGGCATGCGCCGGTGGTCATCTTGCAGTGGTTGAGCTACTCCTTGCACACTCTGCAAATCCTTTTCATAAGCTGAAAGTAAGAGCCTTGTACTTTGAAGTAATCGAGTGAAAGTCATGGTTTTTTTTTTTTTTCTATATGATTATTTCCGATTCATTTTAATTCGTTGTTTATGTATACGCTTCGGAATATACAAGATTCACAAAGATTTCATGATAACGCAGTTCTTATAACTATAGAGAGAGTAATATCTCTCAGTAAGATTAACAGATTGCATGATATATACTATATGATAAATTTTTCAATTCTATGCGATATTCGTATTTAGTATCTTTTACATAATCTTATTATATTAGTATCTTCTATATAATCTTTCAATCCATTATTTCTATTCGTGTTGATGTATAACCTAACGAAATAAATTCTAGGATAACTCTACTATGCTGATAGAAGCGGCAAAAGGGGGTCATACTCCTGTTGTTCAACTATTATTGGATTATCCCCATAGCATTATGATGAGTGCTCCTCATAGTGCTGCACCTGCGCCCATGTTATTACCGCAACAACAACAGCAGCAGCAGCAGCAGCCACCACCACAGCCACAACTACAACAACAGCAGCAGCAGCAATCACAACAACAGCAGCAACCACAACAACAGCAGCAACCACAACAACAGCAGCAACCACAACACATAAGTCATCAACAACACGTACCTCACTCTCAGCAAACATCTACTACGCAACCACAGCAACAGCAGCAACAACCTGCCGAGCAATTACAAGCGCAAAATCTTCAACCCAAACATAATACGCAAAAGTCATTGTTAAGAAAGAATCGATCAGTGACTATGATGCCCGATACGAGCCTTACTTCTGCCGAAGCGCAACAAGTTCGTTCACAGCCCGCAGGAGAATCAACCGCTACTACTAAGGACGATACCAATATTCTTGATAAAGGCAGTGGAGGTTTTACAAGTTTGTCAGAACCTAATATTAGTCTTAGTCCGACGCCAGCAACGTCAACGCAAGTAATACATGTCAGCGAAAGTCGGAAAACTATAACTAGACAAGAGCAAATTCTTCATAAGCAACAAATACTTGAAGAATTGCAAGTACGTCCTTTGTATTAATTCTTGACAAAATTTCTCGATACACTTAAAAACACAAAAACACATTGTAAGATTTTTGTATTAACATTATTTACATATACTTGACTCATCTAAGAATATAATCATCTTTTTATATATGATATAGTCATATATTTACATCTTTCAGAGGGTAGAACGAGAACTACAAATCAAAGGTGCAGGACATTTGTTTTCTGGTCCCCGAAATTCCATTATTAATCAATCTCAACAACCGCAACAAGATCCTAGCGAGACGGATGCATTATTACCAGGCATGTTGAATATCGATTTACCAGCTCAGTCGACATCTCCTCATGGTACTTCTTTTATTTTACTTTATCGAAATCAGCATTTGAATTGAATGTTTATGATTACATATGTTAATGTTTTCAAGTGAAAACCTTCCTCTCTTTTTTTTTTGCTTGAAAGGTTTAGTTTGCAATACAACCGGTATGTCTAGTAGTTCATTGACGTATCCAGGGGCTAACGACGCAGCGTTGGTATGCAGCGCTTATCTTGATGGTAAAATAATGGGGATGCAAGCTGCACAATTCCAAAAAACGCTTTCCGTAGTTCCAACTGCGACGGAAACGTTTCCCACAAATACATTTCCTTCTTCGCCTCCGCTGTCTCTCGCGCCATTACCTGTCGCAACCACTACCACCACCGTATCACTCATTAGTGCTACTACTTCAACAACCACGCCGAGTCCGCCAAGTATTTCTACGCACCCAACCGTTATAGCCGTTTCTCAATCGCCTATCACTGCAAGCAGCGACGTCAGCCAAAATACTGCTATAAGCGATCGTCCAAAAGCTAAACCTGTATCGAAGAAGGAAGGTAAAAATGTGCGAAAAGCTACGTCCAGTATGGGGATGGCGAAATTACAACAGACACAAGCGACCATAATGGCTGGACTTCATCAGCAATACCAGCAAAAGCAACGTCAGCATCCTTCCTATCAAGTGCAACAGGTTCAGCAGCTGCAGCAACTAAATCAACAGCTGCAACTTCAGTTGGATCAAGTGCAGGTGGACCTTTTATTTTTGTCTTCGATATCTTGTTTTGACTTCAAGAATCTGTTTACGCACAAGACAAACAATTGGATTTAACACACGTTGAGTACTGTCCGAGATTTGCAAATTTTTAACATTGACTTGACGTGCGTCTACATTTATCTTCTTTTTTTTTTTTTTTATCTTTATTAAAAGAAAAAAGCTATTTGGCATGAATGCTGAAATGCTCGCAATTACAAATTGTAACAGCATCGATGTAGACTTCTTTAATGATTTTTCTTTTATACACAGATACAACAGCAATCGCAGCAGCCACAATCGCAACCGCAACAATCTCATCAACAAACGCATTCGCAACAGCAAAGCAATATAGTTGCTAATAGCACTGGTAGCATACTTATGCCCACTCAATTGATGCCGCACTTACATCCTACGCATCATCATTTGCACAATCAGGTAATTGTTGAATAATTAGCTGGTTTTCATATTAAAATATAACGTGTGTATATATATATATAAAACATATTTTTAATAGCAAACGGCGCAAGAAAATCTTCCTGAGCAAACGGATCCTGAGTTAACACGAAAATACAGAGAAAGCGCGTGCGCGTTTTTCACTGGTGCTCAGAAATCTAAAACTTTTTCCCCTAACGAGAGAGTATTGAAATTGGAGGATGGCACGGATATTCCTATCGACGAGGCGTTTGAAATTTTTCGTTCCATCAGTTTCGACGATCCAGTTGACAGTAAATATTTTTATGAAGCTTTAAGACTCCTGAGTACTATAGTTTCTGCCCATTCTTACAAAATGTTTTAAAACAATCTCGTCGTTAAGATTTATCCAAATTGTCTTTATTGAAAAATGGGACGCAACAAAAATGAACATTTTTCGCTTATGACGTCACGACGGCCACCGTGACTACTCGGGAGCCTTAAGAAGAAAAAAGTAATAAAAAATAATTTAACCTTTCAATTATTTCATTTCGATATAGCAACGGAAGATCAAGAGAAGCTTGAGTTAAAAAGATTGGACGTATCGAATAAGGAACAGCAACAGCAACAACAGCAACATTTGCATACTACACAAATAGTTCAGCAAAGCGGAAATCCTCACGTGTCCCAAGAATATTTTACTCCTGTGTTGTCAGTACCTTCGGTTTCTCTACCAGCCTTACCGTCGCTGCAAGTAACTAGCGCTGGCGTTCAAATAGAGGCAGACATATCAACGGGTTTACAACTAACAAGTACGCAATCCTTGCAAAATCCAACGCTGAAGCACCGTCTGAGAGCCTTCGAGGAAGGTTTCCGCCAGGGTAGCATACATTTTCGCGAATGTATGCAACATATTAGCAGCGATACTTTCCAACCTCAACTGTTGCTACAATCCTCTCAAATAAGTGAGTTGGCGAACGTATTATTCGCGCAATTATATAAATAAACGTCACTGAAATTTACTTTTTTTGTCACTAGCATTTCCTACACAAACATTACCAGCTGTGAGTGGCGCACCGGGGATAATAGATAATGTACCTCCTCATCAATCGAGTAATTATGTGCAATCCACAACTTGCAGCACTAATCAAGTTCAAGTTGCTACCCAGACTCAAGCACCCGCCACTACAACAACCGCGAATGTAGCTATTCCTGACAAAAAACAAGTATATACTGCACCAACAACGGGCAAGGGCAAGAAGGCTAGATATCCTCTTCTGTCACAGCAACAGACTTGCCAGCAACAACAAACTGCCAATGCTCAAACTCCTAATTTTCCTGCGCAAAACTATCAGCTAGATCCAGCGACAGGTGAGAACATTGTACGACACTGCGATTTTTCGTTGTTATAACACTACATTGGTGATACCACGGTGATATATCCAAAGTAAATTACCAAGAGCGTCCTTGTTGTTTAGTTATTGACCAATGTACAACAGGTGTCCCGACAGTCGGTGGATACGCGTCTAACCAAGTCCCACCCGCTCCGTTTTCGTGTATGGATGTTGATTCAGAAACCGACAGCAATCATGACACCGCACTGACTTTGGCTTGTGCGGGAGGGCATGAAGATCTTGTAGAACTTCTTCTGAGTCGCGGTGCAGATATAGGTAGGTGAAATGTACCATTAAATAATATTTATTGATATGTGGCTGAATTTCTTGGTGTATTTAACTCAATTTTCAATATAATTTTATTAGAAATATTTGTCACTTCTTCCTCCCCCCTCTCTGCAATATAAAATATAGAAAAACTTGTCAAACGGACAAGCTGGCATACACTCGATTTTCTTATAGAACATAGAGACAAGAAGGGGTTTACGCCACTTATTTTGGCTGCAACGGCTGGTCATCAGAAAGTAGTCGAAATTCTACTCAATCATGGAGCCGACATAGAGGCACAATCTGAACGTACCAAGGATACGCCATTGTCTCTCGCGTGCAGCGGAGGTAGATACGAAGTAGTTGAGCTTCTACTTAACCGCGGCGCAAACAAAGAACATCGCAACGTTTCTGATTATACCCCATTGAGTTTGGCCGCATCTGGTGGTTATGTGAACATAATAAAGCTTCTGCTAAGCCATGGTGCCGAAATTAATTCACGAACTGGTTCGAAATTAGGCATATCCCCGCTAATGTTAGCAGCTATGAATGGTCATACTGGTAAGAAAATTATTGAAATTATTTATTCATAAGTTATACTTGACAATAACGAATTCCAATTTGTCAGACGTAAAGAACCTTTCATCATGACCCGAAACACTATAAAAAATATGACATTTTAATGTACAGCGGCAGTTAAATTGCTATTGGATATGGGGAGTGATATTAACGCGCAAATCGAGACGAACCGTAATACAGCATTGACACTCGCATGCTTTCAAGGAAGACACGAGGTTGTTAGTCTTCTTCTCGACCGGAAAGCCAATGTCGAACATCGAGCTAAAGTAACCATATCTAATGTTTAAATAGTGAAAACATAATTTTTGTATTCTGCAAAGTAATAACTTTTCATCTTTCTCTTAATAAAAGACGGGTTTAACGCCATTAATGGAAGCTGCCAGTGGTGGATATGTCGAAGTCGGGCGTGTGTTACTTACTAAAGGTGCGGACGTTAATGCTACGCCTGTACCGTCATCTCGTGATACTGCTCTAACAATTGCCGCTGATAAAGGACACTGCCGTTTCGTAGAACTCTTATTATCGAGGTAATTTGTACCTGTATTGTACGTTGAGTTATGGTCGTAATAACAGTCCAAACGGAGAATTTGTTTTTTTTTTTTTTCCTAGGGGAACTCAAGTCGAGGTAAAAAATAAAAAAGGGAACAGTCCACTGTGGTTAGCTGCAAATGGAGGGCACCTTAATGTCGTGGATTTGCTGTTTCATGCAGGTGCTGATATTGATTCGCAAGATAATCGTAAGGTACGCACGATAATGTATTTGACGAGAGGCTTGTATAATTATGTTTTTTTCTAATATTAGAGATAAAATTACGTACGTAAAATATATTCTATAACGAATTATAGGTTTCCTGCCTAATGGCCGCATTCCGAAAGGGTCATATTAAAGTGGTCAAGTGGATGGTGAATCATGTAACGCAATTCCCAAGCGATCAAGAAATGACGAGATACATAGCTACAGTTAGCGATAAGGAACTTTTGGAAAAGTGTCACGAATGCGTTAAAGTGATAAGAGCTGCCAAAGAGACGCAGGCCGCTAAAGCAAATAAGAATGCAAGTATATTGTTGGAAGAACTCGACATGGAAAAAAATAGAGAGGAATCGAAGAAAGCGGCTGCCGCACGAAGACGAGAAAGAAAGAAGAAGAAAAAGCTTGAGAAGAAGGAGGAGAAACGTAAACTTCATGAGGAGTACAAGAAGAATGAAACAGCTTTTGAGGATAAGGAAGAAAGCGGAAAAAAATCAGACGAAGAATGCGACCGAGCGGATGACAGCGAGCACGAGGGTGGCGATGAGAGAATGGAGAGCGTGCCGTCTCCTGTAAACAGAAGCCCGGAAGATCCCGATAGAGAAGAGGGTGACAGTGGAATAGATGCGAACAGTCAGGGAAGCTGTAGTAGCAATGATGTAAAAGCGAGAGAGAAAAAGAAGGAAAAGAAGAAAAAGAAGAACAATAGTCCTAGTAACAACGATAAGGATACGTCCCCACAGCGTTCGTCCAAGACCTTGATTTCGCAAAACACCAATCTATCTCAAAACACAGCGACATCGACAAAATCCCAGAATAACACTTTAGAAAAGTAAGAATTCTTATGTCTGTTTCCACCAATGCAGATTAACTTTTAATCTTGGTTTAACTTACTGTTCATCTTTTTCTAATTTCTAGAATTAGAAAAAGATGAACAGCAAATTGAACCGAGATTAAAATGGGCATTATACAGCTATTTGAGTAATAAAGAAACAAGGTCATATGTCGAAAGTAAACATTTATGCTCATTTCCACCAATGCAGATTAACTTTAATCTCGGTTCAATTTCCTCTTTGTCTTTTTCTAGTTATAAAAATTGGAAAAAGATAAACAGTAAGTTAAACCGAGATTAAAGTTAATCTTTATTAGTGGAAATTAAAGTTAGCGTACAGCTAATGTTATACGTATGTCGAGGGGTAACACCAATACACAGAAGCACAGAAAAAGGTCTAACTTTGACAAATTTTTTTTTTTTTTTTGGAGTATGGAAAAAGGAATATACTATTTGCTGTGGAACATCGTAGGGGTTTTTTTTTTTTTTAATCAAATTTTGTAGAAATGGCACGCTTTTGAAGAAAAAAAAATTGATTTTTGAGCCAAAAAATAAGCAGTAAATTGTTTATAAAAAAAAGTTTTGATTTCATCGAAAAACGGCTACGTAGTTCCATAAAGAATGTAGTTGTGAAGCTACTGTCAAAATTTCAAGTGAATCGGTGAAAAACTGGTCGAGAAATGTTTCCGCCCGTTTTGAAAAACGGTGTTTCGAGAAAAACGTGTTTAAAGTTTTACGACGTTTTAAATTCTTGAATTTTTTTGTTTACTTCTAATCTGCGATGCCTGCACCATACATGTGGCCGGTCATGTCGATGCTCGCCTGTTCAGCTTCCTTCCTGGGATGCGTTCCAAAACTCGACTCTGTCAACTCTGAGTATCTTTCATCTTTGTTGTTCTCCGAATGTTGAACGAAGATAAAAGATACTCGGAGTTGACAGAGTTGAATTTCGGTACGTAACCCTGGATGATTTCACGGATGATCGGGCGACTTTTGCATTATCTGTAAGCGATCGCTCTGAAAACTTGATGCGTCGTTCATCCGTTTCCACGGAAGAAATTGAAGCAATTCGATCCAATTGTTATGCCTAAATTCTGCATGAGCCGCATAGTACTTGAAGGCCATCATTGAAAATGCCTACACTGAAATGTACACTGCAGTATCGAGAATACGTTTTCCACTGGCGGTCGATTTCGGAGCCATAGATCACACAGTCGCATTGATACTTTTATTGCTATTTTGTGTGTAGCCACCTAAGCAACGAGTGAGCAATTCGTTCATAAATTGGAGAAATCGCTTTGAATACTTCTTGCGATAGAGGTGGTTTATGCTTGGTAATCTGAATTTCCAGTGGCCTGTGCTTTCTGCTACAAGCACCACGAATTTTCTCCGCGCGGGCATTTGTCGTGTTTTGATTCGTCGTCAGGGGATAATTTGTGGTCTAGCGTTGCGTAAATTTCATTACGCATTTTTTCTATGTAGTCATGATTTCGACGTATTACTAGACCATAATAAATTGACAACTCGTCAATTAATTTTCCAGTTAGCTTGCCTTTTCTTCCGAAGCCTTTTGCTTGCTTTTTTATGGCGTGCTCGACAGCTAACTGACACACACACACATACACGTTTATTACAGTATTAGTGTACCCTGGTGAGCTCCGGAGGAACCCTAAGGACCTTTTATTTGTAGGTAACAGGCCCACTTATGACTTTGAAAATAAAGCAGTACGAAAGCGATAAATCACAGCGCGCCGTGTGAATGATTCATAGTGCGCTTCGAGGCGCTGCAGCAAAATTGATAAGCGAACCTTTTAAAAACTTTCTTCGCTATAGGACCAACTGCATATTGTTTTTAAGACTCTAAAGCCCGATCTACAATTGCGTAAATGTAGTTGTAAGAATTGACTAATCACAGTTGAATACAAGGAGAATATTCGACTGTCATTGGTCAATTCTTATAACTACAACCACTTACAACTTTACGCAATTGTAGATCGGGCTTAAAGCGTCGTTTAAGCCAAAAAAAATCGATTTTTTCAAAATTCTACAGTGGTGTTACCCCTTAAATATTGTAAAGTATAGATATAGACACCACGATTATACATATCCTTGATATTATTTTACATGCCAATAATGTGATTCCCGCAGGCGAATTATAACTAACGTTACCAGTGCAGTATCTGTATCTACAACTTCGATCACAACTACTAGAACATCCACCACCGTCAGTTCCGATCGAAAACTGAAAGGACAATTGGTCTTCGAGTCCTCTAGACATCCTGCTGATAGAGAAGATTTTGAAGCAACTGGTAACGAGACTTATATTCCTGGCAAAGGAAAAAAGTCTTATAATAATCAATACGATGGAGATGCTCTAAACACATCGACGAAGGCGAGCAACACTAGCCCTAAACAAAGTGGAAAACGCGAAGAAGGATGGAAAGAAGTTGTACGAAAGTAAGATACATGTTAGAGACATTCAAAGTTTAAAGACTTCAAAATTTTTTCTTCTTTTATCTTGATATTTATGTTATAATATTATCTTTTACAAATAGAGTCATGTAATATTGTAATTTGTAGGGGACAATCGGACGATTCAGGCAGATTTATGAATTCACCATTTCGTTCTAAAAAAGTATCTGTTCCTCCAAATGCTATTAGCAGAGTAATAGGGAGAGGTGGCTGCAATATAAACGCTATTCGTGTTGCGACGGGTGCGCATATTGAAGTAGAAAAGCAAAGTAAATGCCAAGTAGAAAGAATCATTACGATAAAGTGAGTATTAGTTATTGTATATTCTTTAATAAAGCTTATATATTTTATATACAAAGTTTCAAAAAGGCTTAATAGGAGTCAGCGCGTTAAAAAAATGCGCATTAATATCTTTCTATAAAAATGTTTGATAATAAAGATTACGTTTATATATCTGAACGTTTCGGCTACAGATTGTAGCCATCTTCAGCAGAAAATTTAAAAAATATCCATTTGTCCAATAATCACGCCAGTAACCATATCCTTCGGCCAATAAGTTACAATGCTTTTGGTTTCAAGAAAATGTAATTTAAATATAATAGTAGATTTGAGAAAACAGTTTCTCTTTTTCATAAATATATAACCAAAAAATATGCTCATCAGGCGGATTGAAGAACATCACAAATAACACAATCACTTAATGTTAGTAATTTCATAATTAAAATAGATGTAACAATAATTGTCAGAAATATAAAATTATTTGGTAGAGAGTAAGTTCTTAGTTGACAGTAAAATATGTTCATTTATAATTTATTTAAAACGTTATAAATGCGGTCTAACCCATCGTAATCATTTTGTAAGTTCAATTCGTTTTTTTGACTTTTAATATGAATCATTTCAGAAATTAAGCGTCTATTATATCTCTCTTCATCCAAAATTTCCACGTTGTCCCAATCTCAATCATGATTATGCTGCATCCCATGCTTTGTAACGACCGATAGGTTGCCTGTTTATGTAAGTTATTATGATGTTCTTTTATCCTTGTTTTTAGTTTTCTGCCTGTTTGGCCTACATATGATGCATCACAACCACAACAATTGATTTTGTATACTACGTTTTTCTTATCTTCATTTGAAAGACGATCCTTGTGTACTTTTATGAATCCATTCAATTTGTTAAGACTAAAAAAATGAAACTTTTTGTTCACTACCATTAATGATGTTTTTAAATTTGTCTGATATTTTTTTTTATATATGGAACAGTGAACCATTTTATTTTTTTCTTTTTAGCGTTTATATTATTTTCATTTGTAGTATGATTAACTTTTTTTAATTAAATAAGTGATTCTTTCATTAACAGTCTTAAAAATAAAATGTAAAGGAGAATCGCTGTCAATTAAGATTTTTATAATTTTAGTCAAATTTTCTTCGTGAAATTGTGGATGCGAAAGGTAGAACATTTTATCCATCAAGTTTAAGATAATGCCTTTCTTTTGAGATAAAGGGTGCTGAGAGTAAAAATTTAAGAATCTTCCCGAAAAAGTTGGTTTTTGATACCAATTAAATTTAAATATGTTATTTTCGATGATAAGACGTCTAAATAACGTCTAAAAAATTGATTGTATTACCACCTCTTTCTATGGTGAATTGTAGTCTTGGATGAAAAGAATTAAATAAATTTAAAATTTGATTACATTCAGAATTGGGAAGACAAATGAGAAGATTATCAACATATCTGTAATAGAATTTGATTGAAAATTCTAATTTTCTTAGCACCAAATTTTCTAGCTCTTGCATGACTAAATCTGACACTACCGGTGACAATGGTGAGCCCATCGGAGTGCCAAACTTTTTTTGTCTATACAGATTACCATCAAAAGCAAAGTAAGAAGATTCTAATACCATTTTGACTGCATTTAAGAATTCTTTTTTAGGAATATTACAATTAGCCGAAATATATTGCCATTTTTTGTCTAATACAGAGATAACCAATGCAATCGAAATATTTGTAAATAGAGAAGTAACATCAAGTGATATTAAACCATAACCTGAATCAATTCTCTTATATTTTTAAGATTGTTAACCAGATCGTAACTATTATTTGTAAAACTTGGTGCTGAGAAGATTAGAATTTTCAATCAAATTCTATTACAGATATGTTGATAATCTTCTCATTTGACTTCCTAATTCTGAATGTGATCACATTTTAAATTTATTTAATTCTTTTCATCCAAGACTACAATTCACCATAGAAAGAGATGGTAATACAATCAATTTTCTAGATGTTACTCTTAATATTGAAAATAACATATTAAAATTTAATTGGTATCAAAAACTAACTTTTTCAGGAAGATTCTTAAATTTTTACTCTCAGCACCCTTTATCTAAAAAAAAAAGGCATTATCTTAAACTTGATGGATACAATGTTCTATTTCTCGCATCCACAATTCCACGAAGAAAATTTGACTAAAATTATAAAAATCTTAATTGACAACGAATTATCCTTACATTTTATTTTTAAGACTAGCAACAAAAGAATCAATTGAGAAAACTAATCATACTACAAATGAAAATAATATTAACGCTGAAAAGAAAAAAATGAAATGGTTCACTGTTCCATATATATAAAAAAAATATCGGACAAATTTAAAAACATCATTAATGGTAGTGAACAAAAAGTTTCATTTTTTAGTCTTAACAAATTGAATGGATTCATAAAAGTACACAAGGATCGTCTTTCAAATGAAGATAAGAAAAACGTAGTATACAAAATCAATTGTTGTGGTTGTGATGCATCATGTGTAGGCCAAATAGGCAGAAAACTAAAAACAAAGGTAAAAGAACATCATAATAACTTACATAAACCGACAGGCAACCTATCGGTCGTTACAAAGCATGGGATGCAGCATAATCATGATTTTGATTGAGACAACGTGGAAATTTTGGATGAAGAGAGATATAATAAACGCTTAATTTCTGAAATGATTCATATTAAAAGTCAGAAAAACGGATTGAACTTACAAAATGATTGCGATGGGTTAGACCGCATTTATAACGTTTTCAATAAATTATACATAAATGAACATATTTTACTGTCAACTAAGAAAACTTACTCTCTACCAAATCATTTTATATTTCTGACAATTATTGTTACATCTATTTTAATTATAAAATTACTAACATTAAGTGATTGTGTTATTTGTGATGTTCTTCAATCCGCCTGGTGAGCATATTTTTTGGTTATAAATTTATGAAGAAGAAAAATGTTTTCCCAAAAAACTATTATATTTAGATTACATTTTCTTGAAACCAAAAACATGGAAACTTATTGGCCGAAGGATGTGATTATTGGACAAATATTTTCTAAATTTTCTGCTGAAGATGGCTAAAATCTGTAGCCGAAACGTTCAGATATATATACGTAATCTTTATTATTAAACATTTTTATAAAAAGATATTAATGCGCATTTTCTTACCGTGCTGACTCCTATTTAACCTTTTTGAAACTATATATTATTTTATTAGGAATCTTTTAAATATTATTGTTTTTTATATATTTTATATTTATATTTTATATACAGAAAAATGTAAATCTATCGCCTTAAGGATAAATTTTCAATTTCTTTTGTTATTTAAAAATGTCTAAAAAAAAAGATTTTAATATACACAATTTTGACATTTTATTTCTCTCATATAAAAATTTCTCTAATTTGTGGAAAAATAATATAAAAATATCTAACAAATGAGGGGATGCGGCGAATAACGGAATAACTCGAAAAATGACGTTTTGAGAAAAACGCAAAAAACGTAGAAAAGTACTTTATACATATTATATCGAAAAACTGTTTGGCTGATAGTTAGATAATGATATTATACCTTAAATCATTATAGAATAATACAAAAAATTATACAGAAATCAGTAAAAAACTGGATCGTAAATTTCGAGTTATTCCGTTTTTCATATTATTGACACAATTTTCATATATTGCACTTACTTTATGGATAGGAAAATAATTTCTGCATAATTATTCGTATTTTTAATGACAAATGAAATTTTTATATATTACTTTTTGTTGGGAAATGATTATTTTTTGATATTTTTTGATGAAATCTTACATTTTTTAACTTTTTTCGACAACGCATAATCGTTTTTAGCCGCAGAATCATTCACTTCTTGAAATATGTTCTCGTACCAAAAAAAATAAATCGTTTTAATCTATACTGGAATAATTCGACTTATTCCGTTTTTCCGAATATCGCATTCAGTTTTGCGTTAAAAAAATAGATTTACACTAAAATAATTATGTCAAAATATGTAGCTACAAGTACATATTTTATTAATGGAATAATATAAAAAACGAAATAATTCGAGTTATTCCGTTATTCGCCGCAGCTCCTCAAATAATAAAAAATTTTTAAAGTTCTTATCTACGATTTAAGAAGATATCTTGATCATATTAGATAAAAATATTAGTATTTTAAATTAGTTTCAACAGTTTTTTTTTTGTTTTAAATAATAATTTTGACCATATATGTGTTCTTAAAAAAAGTATATAAAAAATTATGTCATGCATATTTATTATTTTAATAACGAAATATAAATTGTCGTATTTGAATCGTACTTTTTCGCGCGAAAATATCGTATGACGTCATTATTAGCCATCGGTAGTTAATCAATCCCGTCGCCGCACTCGTTATATCATAGTTGCTTATTTACGTCGTGTTCAATCTTAAAACTGCTGCTGTATTGCTCCAAAACAACACAAGATGTTAAATGGAAAAAGATGTGAAAAAAAAGGGTTATAAACCCTAAAAAAAAGCCTAAACGATAACATTTTAATATTATTTACAGCATTTTATAAGTCTATTAGAAAAAATTTTCAGAATATTTTAGTTTTTTTTGATAAAGCCAATTGTCATTCTGTTTTTGTAGAGGTACAACTGAAGCAACAAAACAAGCTCATGGATTGATATCTGTACTTATTAAGGATCCAGATGCAGATATATTACAGATGCTTCCAAAGTTAAAAAATATAACAACCTCTCCATGGGATAAATCTGTCTCCACTGTTGTTGTAAGTAGGAGAAAAAAAAAACTATAATAATTTTATGCTGTGTACAAAGATGGGTTTTATAAATCGATATCTTTTTTCAGGCGAGTAAAACGAAACTGGGTGGATCTGTCAATAAATTGTCTAATCTGACATCCAGTACAACCAGTAATCAACTTAACAAGTCCGGGTATTCTTCAGGTGCATCCTCTACTAATCCATTGGTTCCTATTCGCTCATCGAGCATGAAGCTTGCTTTTCCTTCTGTGCCACGAGCGACAGCACCTAGACTCATGGCTGCAGGTAATACAAAACATGATGATACATGTAAATATTAAGTCTTATTAATTACAACGAACAGTTACCATTTATGTTTATTTTTATGTTAATTTAATTTGCAAAATTTGATTGTTTACAAAAGTAATATCGAATATATTTTTTTTCTTTAAATTTATGTCTTTTATCACGCGCGTATTAAAAAATATCCAATTTCTCATTATAGAATGTTTCAGAGTTTATTGATTATATAGCGCTATTTTTTTTTTTTTTTTTAATAAAATTGAAAAATTCAAAATTATTTTTTTATGCTATTTTTGTATTAAGAAATTTTGTCACACATGCGCGCGCTAAAAACGTACAGATAAGGGCAGACAAGACATTGTTAATAAGTAACCTATACCATAATTCATATCAAAATGAATATTCAAACGTTTTGACTGAGCCTTTTTAGAAATCTAATTTGAAATATTGTTACACCTAGTCAATGGATACGAATTCTAGAACAGTCTATAAAAATCTAGAAATGTAGTCGACAAGAAAAGCAAAAATTACTGATATAGAATGTATAATATATTGTAACAAAATACAGTTACAAGTTACTTTTTTGGTAACTTTACTGGTAACTACGTTACTTTCTTTTTTTGGTAACTGTAACGGTAACGTAGTTATATTTTTTGGCTAACGATAACGATATACAGTTACTTTGCATACGATTGGACATGTTATTTCGTTATATAACAATTACATTTATTAATTACGACAGCTATAAATGTGGTTGTAGGACATTGAGTGTTTTTATTTGATACAGGCGTACAAGCTACATTTAGTTTAACTTAATCTAAACATCGTACACATTTTGTTCTAATTGAGCTGCGTACAAAGCTTTACTCTGTACATTTATGTTGAGCAATTGGAAAACACCCCTTTTTGCAAAATTTCTGTTATATATTTCAATTATAGCGTTTTAATTTTCTTTCTATCAAAATATTTTATTTACAGCTAAAAGTATAGATTAAGTAAAAATATAGCTGTATTATATTAAAGAGATTATGTGTATTTCTTAACTTTCCTTTTAATTTCTAATTTATATTGTGATTCAGATAGTCCTATATACAATCCTATATAATCTTCTAGTTTTCTATAAAGTATAAAAAAATTCCTGAAATATTTTAGCTGTCAACTGCTGTGGCGATCCTGAAGTGATCTTTGACAGCTGAGAAATATATACAGTACCATTATTTCAGGAATTATTTTTCACTTCCATCTTCTATGTGATACATCGGACATATGTATATTTCAGTTTGCTGCATATTTTCCAGAATTACGAAATTGTGTTAAAAAAAAAACTAAAAAATAAAACTATACATAGTCACAGTATAGCAATTCTCTGATGAATAAGAAATCTTAACCCATCAGAAATCGGATACATTGGTATACATAAACAATCGTGAATTTATAAGGCTATAAAGAGTCAAACGCAGTTGATCATGCGAAAAATTAATTTAATCTTACAATTAAAAATACAGTCGAACGTTTCGGTCTGTGATTTAGACCATCTTCAGCGACCAAGTGATAATAAATACAAAGCTCCATATACTCCAAGTTATAATGCCAATTGAAAATCAATTATTGTTAATTAACAAATTGTTTCCGTGCACCAACCAGAGGTAAAAGCATCGTGTGAAGATGTGTAGCAAAATTTTTTAAAAAACAGTAATATGTTTGTGGAAAGACAGTTAATAACATATATTATTCTATTAAAAATTATCCAGAGAAAATTAAAACAAAAATTTTTAAATATTTAAACACTCACCCCTGTTGGTAGACAAAAACATAATTACACATTTTAAATTCATAATTCCATAAATTTAGACTGACTAAACATATATGTGACCGTATTCATCAGAAGGAAACGATACAATGAGGAACGTTAAATTACTGACAACAAAATAAATTAAAAATAAATGATTAGGTCAAATCATACTGTTGTCAATTTTTCTAAAATATCTATGTACGACCGATCAAGACCTTCTGTGTCAGTTTTTAAATTTAAACCATTGTTTTGAGATTTTATATGTAACATTTCAGAAATTAATCGCTTGTGATAAAAACTTTCATCATCCAAAACTTCCACATTATTCCAATCAAAATCATGACCATGCTGCAACCTATGTTCAGTGATTACAGATCTAGAGGATGTATTTCTCCGTATATGACTACGATGTTCGTTAACTCTTGTTTTCAGCATTCTCTTTGTCTGTCCAACATAAGTAG